ATATCATAAAAGCCATCTATGAAAAACCCACAGCGAATATCATTCTCAGTGGGGAAAAACTGAGAGCTTTCCCCCTAAGTCAGGAACACGGTAGGGATGCAGAGATGTCCACTATCACCACTGCTATTCAACATAGTACTAGAAGTCCTAGCCACAGCAATCAGACAACGAAAAGAAATCAAAGGCATCTGAATCGGCAAAGAAGAAGTCAAACTCTCACTCTTTGCAGATGATATGATACTTTATATGGAAAACCCAAAAGACTCCACCCCAAAACTGCTAGAACTCATATAGGAATTCAGTAAAGTGGCAGGATATAAAATCAATGCACAGAAATCAGTGGCATTCCTATACACCAACAAGACAGAAGAAAGAGAAATTAAGGAGTCGATCCCATTTACAATTGCACCCCAAACCATAAGATACCTAGGAATAAATCTAACCAAAGGCGCAAAGAATCTGTACTCAGAAAACTATAAAATACTCATGAAAGACACAAAGAAATGGAAAAACCTTCCATGCTCATGGATTGGAAGAACAAATATCGTGAAGATGTCAATGCTACCTAGAGCAATCTACACATTTAATGCAATCCCTATCAAAATACCATCCACTTTTTTCAAAGAAATGGAACAAATAATCCTAAAATTTGTATGGAACCAGAAAAGACCCCGAATAGCCAGAGGGATGTTCAAAAAGAAAAGCAAAGCTGGTGGCATCACAATTCCGGACTTCAAGCTCTATTACAAAGCTGTGATCATCAAGACAGTATGGTACTGGCACAAAAACAGACACATAGATCAATGGAACAGAACAGAGAGCCCAGAAATGGACCCTCAATTCTATGGTCAACTCATCTTCGACAAAGCAGTAAAGAATGTCCAATGGAAAAAAGACAGTCTCTTCAACAAATGGTGCTGGGAAAATTGGACAGCCACATGCAGAAGAATGAAACTGGACCATTTCCTTACACCATACACAAAAATAGACTCAAAAGGGTTGAAAGACCTCAATGTGAGACAGGAGTCCATCAAAATCCTGAAGGAGAACACAGGCAGCAATCTCTTCGACCTCAGCCGCAGCAACTTCTTCCTAGAAACATCACCAAAGGCAAGGGAAGGAAGAGCAAAAATGAACTATTGGGACCTCATCAAGATAAGATTTTGTTGTTCTTTTTGCACAACAAAAGAAACAGTCCACAAAACCAAAAGACAACCGACAGAATGGGAGAAGATATTTGCAAATGACATATCAAATAAAGGGCTAGTATCTAAAATCTATAAAGAACTTATCAAGCTCAACACCCAAAGAACAAATGATCCAATCGAGAAATGGGCAGAAGACATGAACATTTTTCCAAAGACATCCAAATGGCTAACAGACACATGAAAAAGTGCTCAACATCGCTCAGCATCAGGGAAATCCAAATCAAAACTTCAATGAGATACCACCTCACACCAGTCAGAATGGCTAAAATTAATAACTCAGGAAATGACAGATGTTGGTGGGGATGTGGAGAAAGGGGAACCCTCCTACACTGTTGGTGGCAATGCAAGCTGGTGCAGCCACTCTGGAGAACAGTATGGAGGTTCCTCAAAAAGTTGCAAATAGAGCTACCATACAACCCAGCAATTGCACTACTGGATATTTACCCCAAAGATACAAATGTAGTGATCCAAAGGGGTATGTGCTCCCCAGTGTTTATAGCAGCAATGTCCACAATAGCCAAACTATGGAAATAGCCAAGATGTCCATCGACAGATGAATGGATAAAGAAGATGTGGTATATATATACAATGGAATATTATGCAGCCATCAAAAGGAATGAAATCTTGCCATTTGCAATGACGTGGATGGAACTGGAGGGTGTTATGCTGAGTGAAATAAGTCAATCAGAGAAAGACATGTATCATATGATCTCACTGATATGAGGAATTCTTAATCTCAGGAAACAAACTGAGGGTTGCTGGAGTGGTGGGGGGTGGGAGGCATGGGGTGGCTGGGTCATAGACATTTGGGAGGGTATGTGCTATGGTGAGTGCTGTGAATTGTGTAAGACTGTTGAATCACAGACCTGTACCTCTGAAACAAATAATACATTATATGTTAAAAAAAAAAAAAGAAGATAGTAGGAAGGGAAAAATGAAGAGGGGGAAATCGGAGGGGGAGACAAACCATGAGAGACTATGGACTCTGAGAAACAAACTGAGGGTTCTAGAGGGGAGGGAACGGGGAGATGGGTTAGCCTGGTGATGGGTATTAAAGAGGGCACGTATTGAATGGAGCACTGGGTGTCCCCTTTCTTCTCTTCTGTGCTCCAGACCCCAGTGATCTAATGGCAGTGACAGCATCCGTCTATAGGAGCCAAAACTACGAGGGAGGGGAACCCACCTCTGCATTCAGTGGCGCTGTCATTTCCAAAGGCTGAGACCATCCCCCGCTGCCTTTTTCCTTTCTTTGTCCTCTCTCTGGTTGGCCAATGTAGGCGAAGTCACGGAAGTGCATGACAGTGTGAACTTTGTGGCCAGAGACTGACAAGTGGTCCCAGGGAATTAGAAGGTACCAGGGAAATCATGGAGAGGAAGGAGCTTGGCAAAGCAACTCCATAAAGTTTTCTTTTTTTTAAATAAATTCCTGGGCTCACTGTGTTTCTGTACATGCATGAATCTGATCTTAATTTGCATATCAGTCCTTTGAGAACTCTGCCTAGGTTCCAGACTGAGCACTGGGTGACACACACATGCAGATCCAAATAGTGCTGCCAAAGGCTTTGAAAAACTGAGCTGACATAAGAACCAGAGCTCTTGGAAGCCCACCCAGGGGCATGGAACTTGCAGCCGGAACCTAACCAAGTTGAATGAAAACTACAACAAAAATATCAACATTCTCCCTAGGCTTTAAAAAAGACCCAGAATCTCAGAACATAATAGTCAAAATGTACAGAATACAATCCAAAATTCCTTGCCATATGAAGAATCAGGAAAATTTCAATTCCCTTGGAAAAGACAATTAACTAAAGTTAACACAGCAATAACACAGACGTTAGATTTATCTGACAAAACTATGATAAAAATCTCCAATCAGCAATCATGAACACTGCAGAAACCAATGGGTAAAAGAGAAAGTCTCAGGCAAGAAACAAATGGCATAAACAAGAGTCAGGTCGAAATTATGGAACTGAACAATACAGTAACAAAAAACCCCCCAAAAACAAACAAACAAACAAAAAAAACCACACCACCTCTGATGGGCTCAAGAGCAGAATGGGGATGACAGAGGAAAGAAAGCCAGCAGCAAATCATCTTCTAGCTGGGTGACCATTTATCACTACTTTTTCATGCATTTCTCTCTCTTTTAATTAACTACTGAGGCATAACAAGCCACATCGAAATTTAGTGGCTGAACCTGGAAACAATTTATAATTTCTCTCACTTCCACGAGAGGGCTGGGCAGCTTCTCTGCTGGTCTTGCCTACATACATTCATGTTTCTGCATTCAGCTGGAGGGGTGGCTGGACTGGCGGTCCAAGATGGCCCCACGCATAGGAGTAGCAGGTGGTGCTAGCCTTTGACTGGCATGTCTCAACTAGTTCTCTTTAAGCGAACTTTCAACCTCTAATAGGCTAGACTGGGCTTCTTCATGGTATGGTAATCTCAGGGTTCCAAGAGGGTGAGGTCTGGAGCCACAAGGCCCCTTAAGCCCTCGGCTCTGAAATCCATACAATGTTAATCTCTGTCACAGTGTTTTGGTGAAAGCATATCACAAGAACAGCACAGAGATAAAGGTAAAAAAATTAGACTATCTCTTGATGAGAGAGAAGCTATTAAGACTTTGCAAATGGGTGTGGACACAGGGAGCCACGACTCTTTAGCATCATTATTTCACTGTTACACCATACCCTTCCAAGGGAATTAGTGCTACAAGTATCAAAGGCCATGGTCTACAATTGCTATGACAGTAGAAGAGACTGTGAGATTCAGAGAGGTTTAGTGCTTTGCCTAAGATCACACAGCTCGTTTGGGAGAAAACATAAAAACTAAATCCCAGGACTGCTGATTCCACTGACCAGTCCTCACGTCTCTGAGAGGGGCCACGTGGTATTTTGAACACTGGCTATTTAACAGGTAGGAGAGTAATGGGCAACACTTGTATAATGTGTTAGCAGTCATTTATCATTCAGATCCATCTGTGAAGGAAATCAGTGCAGGCACTTGTGGAGTCTATGAAAAAAACTGAAGCGAAGAGACTCAGTAAGAGCTATTCATTATGTAGCAATAGAGGTCCTAACCCATTCAGTACTCCAAGACCTGGTGCATTCAGTCTCTTGCGTTCCTGGCACTCAAAGCTTAATTTCTCCATTGAGGCAGAATTCACATAACGTAAAATTAACCGTTACTCATTTTACATTATAAAATTCAGTGTCATTTGGCACGTTCACTAGGTCATGTAACTGTTATCTGTATCAAATTGCAAGACATTTCTATCACCCCAAAAGGAAACCCTGCACCCATGAAGCGCCACTCCCCACTTCTCCCTCCCCCTGGCCCTGGCCACCACGGGTCTGCTTCCTTTCTACGGATTTGCCTATTCGGGATGTTTCAGGTAAGTGGAATCATACGCATGAGCTTTTGTAACTTCTTTTACTTGGCACATTTTTGAGGTCCATCCATGTACCAGCACTGCATTATTTTTATGGATCAGATAAACATGAATGACACCCACAATATTCCATTGTATGGATAGACCACATTTCGTTTATCCATTCATCAGTTGACGGGCATTTTGTGTTCTCTCCACTTTCTGGCTATCATGAATAGTGCTGCTATAAACATTTGTGTGCAAATAGTGGTCTGAATACCTCTTTTCAATTCTTTGGTGTATATAATCAGGAGTGGAATTGCTGGGTCATATCGTAATTATATCAAAGCTTAATCTGGATTCTAGTTTTTGACAAGGCTTCTTAAAATGGTTTGAGATCAATAACATGCTGCCAGCATTACCTTGTCTCTAAAGTCAATGTGGTTCTGGAGGATGGCTCTGTGGTAAGTGGCTGTCCTCACAAAATCCTGCATCATGTTCTGCTGCTGGGAAATGCAGCCATAAAACTGTAAGGAAAAGAGAAGGATAGGGAGAGTCAACAACCCACAAGGCATCACCTTCATGAGCATCTGGTTCTTACAGTCACCTTGGTCAAGGCAGGCTGAGCCTAATGTGCAGGCTAGCCGAGGCTCTGAAAGATGCAGTGACCTGTCCACATTCGCCTCATTTCTAAGGTCTAGAACTGTAAGTCGACTCCAGACTTCTGAAGGCTGCTCCATGCAATAGATTCAGGCCTAGATACTGGCCAAAGAGGTGCCCAGGGTCCCTTCTCAAAGCAGAGGTTATAAGAGAACACAGATCAAGACTAACAGGGGTAAGAGAGAGAAAGAGGCCAGAGCCAAAAGGGACATCCCTAATGAGTCTCCTGAGCCAGGAGAGAAAAACGGGACTTGGACAGAAATGCTGAGTGAGGGCAGGAGTGGGGCAGAAGGTAGTGGCGATGGCAATCCTGATCAGGCAAGCCAGCTGGGTGACATGGTGCGTACAAATCCATGAACACTGGGTCACAAATATCAGCATTGTAACTGCCCCCCTTTAGTAGAGTTTGCTATGTTACGGGCACCATGCTAAATGATTCACATACATCCTCTAATCAAATTAAATCATTATAAAAATCAGACGAATTTCATTCCCCAGATGACAAAACTGAGGCTCAGAGAGATACGGCCACTTGCCCCCAAGTCCTGACAAGTTGAGAAGTGATGGTATGAGGATCCCAAGCCAGGGGCTGCTGCAGCTGCGCTCAGGGGACCGCACGGTGGGAAGCTGCAGGGCCACGCCCACTGCCTCCTCTCCGCCCACCGGCCTGCCCAGGTGTGTCCACAGGAGTGTTCGCAGGCCTGCGTCACCTGGAAACAGCTTCTTTCTGCCCGGGGGCAACTTTCCTGACCTGGAAGTACTGCACAGCAGAAGCCTCTTCTGTCCGCTGGCTGAACACTGAGGATTCCTTTTTCTCATTCCGGCATCTTTTCAAGGTATTTGAAAATGAGCTGAGATCTGCAAGGATAAAAGGCAGACCCGTTTCTACACTGAGGGAACCACAGAACTGACCGCTGCACTTTTACACAATTCTGAGAAAATACTGGAAGAGTCAAAGGGCAAGTTCATCCCCAGACACACACAGGATAAGGAATGGCAAGGTGGAAATGGGCACCACTCTGAGATGTGACAGCCTTCCTTACACTTGTCAGCCATAGTTGCATTCACCAGTGTCATGTGACACAGCATAATGGGACACGCGGAGACTGGGCTCAGGGACTTCTCCCGGTCCTGTGCTCACAGAGCTTACAGGCTTATTCTCAGTATGTGCTCTGGGGAAGGTGATTGCTGATGATAAGGAAAAAATATATATATGTGAATACAAAATATACATACAATGAATAGATATACATATTTCTATATATATAAAAATCTCATTCTATTGTCACGACAGGGTTTTTTTTTTTTTTTTCACATTTAGTATTCTCCAGGCGTAGAGAGAAGAAGTAAAATAACCAAAGAGATGTGAATACAAGGAAATGCTTTCTATTATTTGAGGAAAAGAAATACATACATGACGGCTCAAAAAATCCCAGAAGTGTTATTACTTCGAGATAACACAGCATACACAGCGGTCAAGTTTTGTGACTTCTGCCTTAGAATTGTCTCTTACATCCTTGCCCAGTAGTCCTCATCACCCGTGGCCTTCTCCCTCGGCACCTCTGGTGATGTGCCCAAGTCTCTCCCTTATAGCCTGTGCTGGATTCCTGATGGCCACACACTCTCAGTTCACCATGAGCTCCAGTCCCTCATGCTTTGTCGGCCCTCGCATACTACCTTATACACCTTCTCCTTGTGCCCTACATCCTCCATGCTTCCGCCATGTGGAAGTACTTATGAATTCCCACATCAACTTGGCCCTGGCCTGGCTTCTTGACTTGAAACCCCCCAGCTCTTCTCTTTAAATTCACTTTTGACATCAAATTCCTATTCATCCCCCAAGATTCAGCTCAACCAGCCTTTTCTCATTGCTATGTTCTGGAACACCCAAAGGCATGGTGGGCCTCCACACTTGATCAGAATCACCTGAAAAGATTTTTTAGACTATGGATGTTGAACCCTCATCCCACACCTGTTAAGTCAATCAATCAAAAAAAAAAAAAGTAAATAATTTAATCATAGGAAATTTTAAAACTCAGAAAAGAAAGCCAGGAACAAAAAATGACTGCTAGATATAACCACTAAGAGTATTTTGGGATAAAATCTCCCAAGAATTTTTCTTCGTTGTGTTTTTATCTATCTCTACATTATTTATAATAATAGTATCATACTCTACTGTCAATACTTTTCATATAGAATCTCTCATCCACACTTAAAGCTACAAAGCCCACTAACTACAATGTCCTTTTGTTCCTGTTTCTCCTATTTGTTCTCAGAGGCAACATCAGAGCCTTAGTAGATCTTAATTTCAACAAGGTTTTTAACTATGTTCCTTCAAATTTTGGACATGCTTATTTGCTTATCAAGTTCTACTGGGGGTCAAAAGTACCAACCCTATAGAACTATAATTTTCTATATTTGCATTTTATTCCCTTTAAATGATATTGGATAATATTTTAAAACTTTAAAATGTTTGAAAACTTTGTTAGATAAAAACTTGCAACAAACTTGGTAGAAAGGGAACACACCTCAACATGGCAAAGGCCATACATGACAATCCTGCAGCTGACATCATACTCAACAGTAAAACGCTGAAAGCTTTTCCTCTAAGACCAGAAATGAGACAAGGGTGCCCACTCTCACCATTCCTATTCAACACAGTATTGGAAGTCCTACTCAGAGCAATCAGGCAATAAAAAGAAACAGAAGGCATCCAACTTGGAAAGGAAGAAGCAAAACTGTCTCTATTTGCAGACAACATATTATATATAGAAACCCCAAAGGACTCCACCAAAAAACTGTTAAAACCAACAAATTCAATAGAGTTGCAAGATACAATATCAATATACAAAAATCAGTTGTGTTTCAAAACACCAACAATGAACTACTAGAAAGAGAAATTAGGAAAGCAATCCCATTTAAAATTGCATCAAAAAAACCAAAATACTTAGGAATAAACTGAATCAAGGAGGTGATACCAGTTATCCGTATTCTAAAAACTGTAAGACATTGATGGAAAAAAATTGAGGATGGGACAAATAAGTGTAAATATATCCTGTGTTCATGGATTAGAAGAATTAATGTTGTTAAACTGCCCATATGCCCAAAGCAATCTACAGTTTTAATGCCATCCCTATCAAAATTCCAATGGCATTTTTCACAGAAAAAGAAAAACAATCCTGAAGTTTGTATGGAACTGTAAAACCCCTAACAGCCAAAGAAATCTTGAGAAAGAAGAACAAAGCTGGAGGCATCACACTTTCTGATTTCAAACTACACTGCAAAGCTGCAGTAATTAAACCAGCATAGTATTGTCCTAAAAACAGACACAAAGATTAATGGAAGAGAATAGAGAGCCTCATGCTTATATACTCAATCAATTTACAACAAAGAAGCCAAGAATATATGATGGGGAAAGGATAGTCTTTTTAATAAATGATGCTGGGAAAACTGGATATTCACATACAGAACAATGTAACTGGAACTCTATCTTACAACATACACAATAATCAACTCAAAACGGATTAAATAGTTGAACATAAGATCTAAAGCCGTAAAACTTCTAGAAGAAAACAGGGATAAACACCTCAGCATTGGTCTTGGCAATGATTTTTTGAATTTGACACCAAAAGCAAAGGCAACAAAAGGAAAAATAAATAAGTGGGAATATATCAAACTAAAAAGCTTCTGCACAGAAAAGGAAACCATCAACAAAACAAAAAGGCAACTATTAAATGGGAGAAAATATTTGCAAATCACATATTTGATAAGGGACTAATATCCAAAATATATAAAGAACTCACACAACTCACAGCAGAAAAAAAGAATCAATCTGATTTAAAAAATAGGCTAAGGGACTGAGTAGACATTTTCCCAAAAACATAGATAGCCAACAGATAACGAAAGATGCTTCATATCACTAATCATCAGGTAAATGCGATCAAAACCACAATGAGACATCACCTCACACCTGTTGGTGTGGCTGTCATCAAAACAACAAAAGGTAACACGTGTCAGTGAGGATGTGGAGAAAAGGGAATCCTCGTGCACTGTTGGTGGGAATGTAAATTGGTGCAGCCCCTGTGGAAAACAGTATGGACGTTCCTCAAAAAATTAAAATAGACCTACCATATGATCTAGCAGTCCCACTTCTGGGTATATATCCAAAGGAAGTGAAATCATTATCTCAAAGAGATGTCTGCACTCCCATGTGCATTGCAACATTATTCATAATAGCTAAGACATGGAAGTAGCCTAAATCTCTATCAACAGATGAATGGATAAAGACGTGATATAAAAATGACAGATTATATCATATCTATCTACTTCCCCCAATGAAATATTATTCAGCCATGAGACAGAAGGATATTCTGCCATTTGGGACAACATGGATAAAACTTGTGGCATTAAATTAAATAAGACAGGGGAAGAAAAATAGAGTATGTTATCACTTGTATGTGGAATCTTCTTTTAAAAAGTCAAATTCATAGAAAGATAGAGTAGAAAAGTGGTTGCCTGGAGCTGGGGGCGGGGTGGGCAGAAAAGAACAGGGAGAGGTTGGTAAAGGGATATAAATGTTCAGCTATAAGGAGTGTAAGATCTGAGGATCTAATATATAACATGGTGACTATAGCTGCTAACAATGGACTGTATAATTGAAATTTGTTGAGAGAACTGAAATGTTCTCACCAAAAAATAAAATAAAATTTCTCAGACATACTAAAACACCCCAGAAGGTATTAGATAATAGTGACTCAGCTCTAGTCTCTTGGCTCCTCTCCAATTCCCTCTGAGCTTTCAGAGACCGCCAACAGTGGTGTCACCCATCTGTGAGTTCTTCGAATCCTGGGCATCTACGCTGTTGGGGCTTTCAAAGCCTACAGTAAATTCATTTGTCCAACAAATAGTCTTTTGAATATTCTCAACAGTTGCAAGTCTCCATACTTGGGGGGACATCTGACTTTAATACAGCCAAATATCATGGGTGCCTAATTTAGTAAACAGGATGTGTGACAAGTTGAAAAGTATCGTTTTTAGTTAACAAACAAGATTATGACTATCAACTAACATGGATAGTCTTGTGTCACTCACCAACGGTCTCCAAAGGAAAACGTAAAAGAGAAGTTCTAACAGAGTTTTAGGTTACACCAGCATCCGTCCAATATATAGACAGCCTTCCAAAATAAACACTAATTGGATATACCAGCTCTACTATGTTTCTATTAAAAAATATTATATTCTTACATTATAGACACTTTAGTCACAACTCTATCGTAATCTCTTGTTTGACAAGTTTAAGACGTATTTATGGGATTTAGGAAATAAGGAGCATCCAATCCAGGAAAGTCCAGGAATCAGCAATCAGTGAACTCCTGCCTATGGTGATTTCTGTCACAATGGCTCCTAGGAGAATGTTCTCTTTGCAAGCCTCCCTTGCCTTTATTTTAATGGTTAAATAAATGTGTGCAAATAAAGGAAATGTCTGTGTTTCCATAGGATATATAAAGATTTTTTTTAAAAAACGCACTTTCAAAAGGAAAAGAAATTTAATTGTTGATTTCTCCCTCCCCTCAGTCTCCAGAAGAAAGGACTCTGGAGGACACTGTCTTAATCCATTCGGGCTGCTCTAACAAAGTACGATAGACCAGGTGATTTATAAACAATAGAAATCCATTCCTCACAGGTCTGGAGGCTGGAAGTCCAAGATCAAGGTGCCAGCATGGTCTGGTTCTGGCGAGAACCCTTTTCTTGGTTGCAGGCTGCTAGCTTCCGGCTATGTCCTCACATGATGGAAGTGGCAAGGGACCTCTCTGGGGTCTCTTTTATAATCATATCCCAAAGGCCCTACCTGCAAATAC